CAGATACTGTCATTGTTGGGGCTCCAGATGTGGGAGTGTAAGCAATGTGGGGGTTCTATCAGCCCCTGTGGAGTATCAGCCTTGTAGAGGACCTTGTCAGGTCTTTGAAACAGATGATAAATACACAAGAAGACGGCACATGGGAAGACTGCCAGGAACTGATGGGGCTTGGGTGGTAAAATCGTTGTGGTACTGGTAGGAGCTCTAGCTTCGCCAGTCATAGTGGTTTGGAAGATGTCTCTCAAGTTCTGAGATCTGAAATTGTGGAAACCCCAGGCAGAAAACAACATAGGAGACATTTCTGGCAGGACACACTAGTGCAAAGGCCCTGTGGCAGGGAGCAAATCTAGAATTTTCCAGTAGCAGTGCAACGTTTGGATAAGATGAGCTTGTGGTTTCCAAAGGATCTTTTCAGAGGCATTGTCAGAACAGTATCATGGGGCACAAAATGGGGCTACAGGGATTCAAGGGATCCTGGGAGGAGTGGGGAGAGATGGCAGTGGCTTGGACCTGGGTAGCTGGTGGTTATGAGAATGGTGTCCATGTTAGGAATGGACATGAAAGGTATGTGGGGTAAAGCAGCTAAAGCACCCATTTGCTCCCCAGGCTGAGCCTTAACAGTGTGTGGGAAGCCAGGTTGGCCTCCTGGTTCACAGTTGGGAAGGTCAGAGCAACAAACAGCTGAGTCACACAGGGAAATGACCACAAGGATCTGGCTGAGCAGGACTCTTGCCCTGGGGAGAGGATGCACCATCCTTACTTACAGATAGGGCAATGGAGGCACATGGGATTGGGACCAAGGTTACTCTGTCAATGTCAGTAAGAGGCTCTGCCTGCAGTAGTTAGCACCCGTCCTGTTCTCTCGCATGTCTCCGAGGCCAGTGGACTGATGACCCTCACGTTGGGTCCCTATGACTATAGCCTGTGGCAGAAGGGACCCTGCGGATGAACTCAGACCAAAGCCTGGCTCTAGATTATCTGGGGACCAGTGCCATCGTACAGTGATGTTTTCTGAGCTGCGGAACCCAGTGAAGGAGAAGGGCTGCCTGAGACTTTCCCTAGTGTGGAGGTGCCAGTGTACCGCACTACCAACCTGGTCCAGCAGCTCAAACCTGGAGGAGCCTGTCAGAAGACAGAGACCCTGGATGGCCAGCTTGCTCCATCAAGTACCCAAGTTGTGGGCATTTGTAGTGGGGTGAAGGTGCCCCTCCAAATTCATGCTCACCTAGTACCCCAGAATTCAGCCATACTTGGGCATAGCGTCCCTGCAGATGTAGTTAGCGGAGATGGGTTCGGGCTAGGGAAGTCCCAAATCTAGTGACTGTTGTCCTTAGAAATACCACAGGAAGACATAGGTAAGGAGGCTGTGATAGATAGTTCAGGCTGAGTGAGTGGTGTAGCTGCCAACCAAAGGTCAGAGAGGGCATGGCTACCCAGAAGCCCAGGAGAGGCAGGAAGGGCCCTCTGCAGCTCAGCCCCAGCAGAAGGGTCTTGGTCTTTGGCCTCTAGAATGTGGATGGAAGTATTTGTAAGCCCCGCCCTTGTGGGAATTGTCAGGTTGTCTCTGGAGACCTATTCTTCATCCTGAGGGTCTTGGCTGTCCCTGGCCAGCTCCTCTCCTGGTGGCTGTGGTCCTAGAGAAAGAACGTTCATGGTGCTTTTATTTCCTGACCAGCCAGAACAGGGCCACGTGGCTTCAGAACCACACGGAGGACTGTGGCCCTTGCACGTTTGTGACCTGAGGCATGGCAGCTGATGGTGGCTGCTTGCTCCGCTCCCTGTGGTTCACTCCCCCCACCCCCTTAGTGCATTTGTGTATGTGTGTATGTGAGTGTGTCTGGGTGTATGTGTTATACACATGTGCTCTTGTATTCTCACTGGCCCAGAGCTCATCAATTGGGTGAGGCTGGCCATCAAGCAAGACCCAGGAATTCTGTGTCTCTCTGTGTCTCCACCACAATGTGGGTGCTGGGGATCTGAACTCAGGTCCTCGTGCTTGTGTGGCAGGAACTCTACCCATGAGTCATCAGCTCCCTGTCCCTCCCCCCTCCCAGGAGGGACTGGAGCAGTAACACTGTCAGAGATAGGGGCTAGGAATGAGAGATGTGGGAGCAAGAGCAGGGAGCCTGGCTGATGCTCTCTTATGTAGTGACACATGCCTGATCAAGTCCTTATTGTCTGTCTGTTGCTCTTCTCTAGCCATGAACTGACAAACTGTCTATCAGCTATCCACCTGCTCACCCACCCACTTACCAACCCAACAAGCAAGCATCCCTCTACCTATCCATTCATCTACCTACCCATTCACTGGCTCATCTGATTACCTCCCGACCCACCCACTCATCTACCCATCCACCCATTCATCCATCCACCCACCCATTCATCCACCTACACACCCGTTCACCCACGCACTCACCCATCCATCCGCCCACCCACCCATCTTCTTACTCATCCCCTACTGGCCATTCCTCCCTCCTCCCCTCCCTCTTTCCCTCCCTCTCATAGGAGAGGCCCTCAGCTCACTCCTGTCGTTAGCACCCCATATACCTTCCACTCAGAGTGACACCATCACAGTGGGGGCTGTGGCTTTGGCTTCCCAGCCTTTGTTCTCATGTCTCTTCCACTTGGTCTCTATTCTGGCCACACCCTGGCTCCCACTTCTGGCTTGACACTGCTGCTCCATCTGCCTGGGTCCTCCTGTACTTCTCCCTTCCTTTGGTCACTGCCCCATGGGCCCAGAGATGTGAGCACAGACCCCCTTCCTGGTGGTTCTGTGCCCGGTAGGTCCTGAGTACTGTCTTTGTACCCTTTTGCATGTGAGCAACCTGGCTGGGACACAGGTCACTTTGTCCAGCTCCTGGCTTTGCGTCCTGGACTGTCATATCACCTTAGGTAACTGCCAGGGATGCATCAAGGTCCCTGTGTTTCTGAGAGCCTGTTCCTTTGCTGATACCACATTGGCAAAATCATAATGGGTCTATGAGGGGTGCTGTATTGTCACTTTAGAGTGTCCTTTGCCTGGAGGCATCTCCTGAGTCTACATACCTGCGAATGCAAGCTGCGTACTTCTTCATGTCGAGTCACACGAATGTTCTTATGATGATGCTCCTGTCCTACTTGCAGTAACATTTGGAAATCGTATCATATAAATTCATAAAAATAACTTGTCTCATTTTACTATTGCGGGCATTTTCTCCCGTATGCATGTTTGTTCAGTTTCTCCAGTTCAGAGGGCAGCCAGTTTAACATAAACTTTGAGAGAGCACAGCAGATCTTAGTGTCCACATATCCCTGCTAGGGTATCTACTTGGGCTGCGAAGCTATTTATTTGCTTACAGGGTGCTATCACAGGGCACCCTGCCTCCTGCGACTGTGGAACTAATTCCTGCTGGGATTAGAGGGGTTTCAGCACCTTCAGGGCTGGGATTCCTCAGGAGAAACTGAGGCAGTAGTTGCAAGAGGAGGGCTGTGGTAGGTGCTGTGCTGTGCTGGGAGGGGACAGGACAGTAGGTGCCTCAGCTGGAAAGACCACCCATGGGGGATGTGCTCACATGGCCCAGTGCTGATGGGCTATGGAGTAAAAGTCTAGAATTGGAGTCACAGGGTGAACACATGTATACACCAGTCATTTTATTTTATTTTATTTTTAACTGAGAGCTGGGCATGATGGCACATAGCTGGAATCCCGGCCCTTGGAAGGTGGAGGCTGAAGGATTAGGAGTATAAGGTCATACTTGGTTATATAGTGAGTTTGAGGCCAGCCTGGGTTACATGAGCCCCTGTCCCCAAACAACCTAAGTAAATAAATAACACAAAATTATAAAATAAGCTGGGTGTGGTGGTACAGAATGTCTCAAACCCAGGAGTTTGGGGGCTAGCCTCTGCACCAAGCAGGACTCCAAAATTAATTAATTAATGAGACCTAAGTCAGCGACAGGCTGGAGAGATGCCTCGGTTGTTAGTTAAGAGCCCCTCTTGTGCTTGCAGAGGGACCTGCACTTGATTCCCAGCTCCCACAGCTTCCACAACTGGGTGGCTCCTGAGAGCCTTAACTCGAGTTCTAGGACGCCCAGTGCCCTGCAACCTCATGTGCACAAACAAACCCACGCACGCAGCCTGTGTGGATGAAGGCTGTGCCACGTCTGCCAGGATGGGGATGGAAGGAAGTGGCAGTCATTTCTGGTCACTTCCCTTGAGACAGTCTCCCTGTGCAGCTCAGGGTAGCCTTGAATTCCTGGCAGGCCCAGGTTCAGCTTTGTCCCTCTTATGCGCTTCTGACTGTGTCCCTTTCCACAGAGATGTTTGTCTAGATAGAGGCCTACAAAGTTTCTTTTTCTTTTGAGAGCCTCTTTGTCTCCTAAATTGGCCTTGGGAGGCAGAGGCAGGCCCATCTCTGTTAATTCAAGGCCAGCCTAGTCTACAGAATGAATTCCACAACAGTCAAGGCCACACAGAGAAATCCTGTCTTGAAAAAACAAAATACAGACTCCCTATGTAGCTGAAGATGGCTGTCAACTGGTGGCCGTCCCTCCTCCTCAGGCATGTGCCACCATACTGCATTTATGGGGTGTTTGGGATGGAGCCAGGGCCTAATACATGCTGGGCAAGTGAGTGTTCTACCAACTGAACTTCAGCCCTATGAGGTTTCTATGGAAGGCAGTTGGCTGATGTTTGCATCTTTGCCAGCCAGGTGGTCCCTGTCTGGATTGTGTCTGCCAACCCTGTGGGTGGTGACTGGACTCAGTGAATGCTTACGCTACCATCCTGCATCAGAGCCTGGACAATGAAATTGAGCCTTGGGATTGGGGATGGGCAGCACTCAGTGGTAGTTGGGGGAGAGCAGATCTAGGACATCAGGTACAAAGGTCCTGGGGCAGTGGCTCTAGATGTCAGGAAGGGAGAAGAGCTCTGGATAGCTGGAGAGAAAGTCAAGTTTTCTGCAGGGAACCAGCTCCTGGGTTGGGCTCCGCCTGCTCAGTGACCCTTCTCTCTCTTCCCAGTACATGGGCTGTATTGAGGTGCTCCGATCCATGCGCTCTCTGGATTTCAACACCCGAACGCAAGTGACGAGGTGAGGCCTTGGCGTGGGTTGGGAGCTCAGATTGTAGTTGACTCGTCCATCGAGAGGCCTCTTGAGGGTGGCATAGTGGGTTGGAGGTGACCTGCCAGGCACCCAAAGACAGTAGGTAGATTGGGCTTGGCACTGGCCATACTTGAGCTCTGCATCTCAGTTTTGTCCCTGGTTATTGTGTGTGGCTGTGATGGACACTTGCCAGACTATTTTCCTTCAGCCTGCTCTGCAGTGGGGTGTGACTTCAGGAGGGTGATGGGAAGGGCTTCGTTTATTCCAGTTGCTGTGAACTTAAAAACCAGGACACAAAGCCAGGTGTGGTGGCCCAGCACTTGGGAGACAGAGGCAAGAGGTTTGCTATAACCAGGCTAGCTTAGGATAGCCTAGGCTATAGAATGAGACTGTCCCAAGAAACAAAAACAATAGCTAGGATTTATTTAATAACCCACCCCTGTCCACTGCAATTCATTACTTTAAAATATCTCTGCATAGTGTTTCATAGCCACCTGACCTATCTAATTCCAGAACATTCCAACACCCTCAAAGGAAGCTCTGTTCTCATGAATAGTTATCCCCCACAGCCCATCCAGCACCTACAAATCTACTTCCTGTCTCTGGGTGTTCCTTAGCATGGAATCCCACACTATAGCCTCCTGTCTTTGTCTTAGTCACTCTTTGAGCTGCTGTGACAAAACCCTGACTAAAGCAATTCAAGGGAGACAGGGTTCATTCAGCTCATCCAGTCAGTGCATCAGGCCGATGCTCACAGGATCTGCTCATCATAATAAGTATATAATAAAATAACAAATAATAAAATTTGTCACAGTCATAAGGGACAGAGAGAGATGAATCAGTATGCTCATGTTTATGCTCAGCTTGCTTTGTCCCCTCTTATACAGTCCAAGATCCCTTGCCTAGGGGATGGTGCCACAGATCTCCCTTCCTCGACACTATCAAGAAATTACAGTCATTTTCTGAGGCTCCCCGATCACAAGTGTCCTCACGGTCCCTTCATCACGGTCCCTGAGATGTATGTCAGACCCTCACTCCTCTGCAGGGCTGAGTAATACCACAGTGGGTGGATGAACCACTCTGTATATGCATTCACCAGTGCTCGACACTGGGTACCCAGGACTCCACTTCCCATCAGCTCTGTCCGATCCCCGCCCCAGCCCTCCCCATCACCCATGCTCATGAAGCCCAGGCTGGCCTCAAGCTCATTGTCTTCCAGCCTCTGCCTCCCGAACAAAGAGCTAGTCAGGCCTGGCTTTCCTTGGCTCATCTCTTAGCCCTAGCCTCTGCTGTTCCTTAGTTTGGTCTCACCCTTCTGCAGGGAAGCCATCAACCGGCTCCATGAGGCCGTGCCAGGCGTCCGGGGCTCCTGGAAGAAGAAGGTGGGTGTGGCCTCTTGTCTCCCAGAGCTGGTGTGTGTCTCCCAGAATCTAAGGGGCCTCTTTGGCCCCAGGCATCTGACTTGGGTGGGTCACTGTACCCTCCTAGGCCCCCAACAAGGCCCTGGCCTCCATCCTGGGGAAGAGCAACCTGCGCTTCGCTGGCATGAGCATCTCAGTCAACATCTCCGTGGATGGCCTTAACCTGTCTGTTCCTGCCACTCGCCAGGTGGGAGCCAATGCCCTCTGCCCATAACCCCACCTTTGCCCAACCCATAACCTTGCCATCTCTACCCTGCCCACATCCTGGTCTTGGCTTCAACACCCCCTCCCCAACTCTACCCACATCCCTACAATCCTTTATGCTTACAACCCAGTATCATTTTCTCAGTCCTATACTTCCAGACAGGGTTTCTCTGTGTAGCCATGACTGTCCTGGAACTACTCTGTAGACCAGGCTAGACTCAAACTCAGAGTTCTGCCTGCTTCTGCCTCCTGAGTGCTGGTATCAAAGGTGTGTGCCACACTACCTGGCTTCAGTCCAATAAGTCCCCACATCATTTCATCCACATCCCCAACCTGGGCACTGAGCCTGAATCCATCCTGCCTGCTCACCACTCCCTCAGTGCTGTCACGTGCCCCATCACGCCCACTTTCAACCCAGTCCACAGCCCTGCCTGCCCCATTCTCAACTCCGCCCATTGGTGACCCAGTCCCGGGGGCTTGCCCTCCACTTCTCCCATACACAAACCCTTCATCCCACCCTTAGCCCCACCAGGCTCAAAGTCCTCAGCCACACCCACCAGGCAGGCTTCTCTTATAATCTTCAGGACCTTTAAGATGGCCAGTAATATGTGATGCCCACGGAGGTGGATTCAGGATGTTAGGGTCACTGTGGGCACGAAGTCCCCAGTAGCCAGGATATGAATGGTGTACTTGCTGACGTTATGCAGGGCAAGGCCAGCACTAGGCAGATATGTCTCCACAGTTCCCAGAAGGGTACCTGGGCTGGAGTGGGTGGCAGCCAGGGAATGTTTTCAGCACCCTGCACTCTGAGGGTGCCAAGTCCCCAGACATAGGGACAAAAGGGATTCTAGGCTGGGAAAGGACAGCATGAACCTGGGGGAGGGGTCTGGTTCTGTCCTGAGAGTAGTGACGTGGCATTGTAGTCTCTGCTGGAAACGGAGGAGCCAATGCAGGGCCTGTTGAGGAGTTGTCCTGGTGACAGGGGCCATGGCCAGGTCTCATGGGAAAGGGACTGAAATTAGGATAGAAGCGGGCAGGACCTGCTGAGTGGGGAACAGACAGGCTGTGGAAGACCTTGACCCCAACAATAACCCCAACTCTAGCCACCTGAACCCCAAGCCCAGATCTTAATTCTGATCACCCCAATTCTAGCTCTAACCTCCACCCCAACTCCACTTCTTTGTTTTTTTTTAAAGATTTATTATGAGTACAGTGTTCTGTCTACACACCAGAAGAGGGCACCAGATCTCATTATAGATGGTTGAGCCATGTGGTTGCTGGGAATTGAACTCAGGACCTCTGGAAGAACAGCCAGTGGTCTTAACCTCTGAGCCCAGCCCCTCCACTTTTTTGTTTTGAGACAAAATCTCACCATGTAGTCTTGTCTGGCCTGAAACTCACAGAGGCCCACTTGCCTCTATTGGGATTAAAGGCATGGGTCACCATGCTCGACTTCAACTGCACTTCTAGCACTACCCCTGATTGCAACCTTAACTCTAATCCTAACCAGGTCATCAGGTCTGGTGCAGATCTGGGTCTCTTAGCTATGGGCACAAATTCTTGCTTTGCGCTGGTAGATCCGAGATCCAAGGAAGTCTGAGCTGGAATTTTATCAGCTAGCAAGGCACAGGCTGAGTCTTATCAACAGAGGTTGCAGCTGTAGTCCTACAGAGAGCCTTCCTTCATGCAACCTCGTCTCTGACCCTCCTGGCTGGGGCTGCCATAGGCACATGCTGTAGTGCAAGAGGGTGTGTCGAGCTACACATGGCATTTCACATTAGGTAGGGGACAAGGCTGGCCTCATATCGGACGCAGCTGGTGCCAAAGAAACAGGCTTGTGGGCTGGGGTGCAGCTGGCAGAGTGTGATGCCCCCAAATGGGGGAGGGTGTCTTTTCTGAGCAGCCCAGCCCCCAGCTCCAGGATCCAGATGGTTAGTAAGTGGGGGTGTGGAAGGTGGGGGTACTCTGCCCCACATGAAGACTGGGAGCCTGCAGCATGGAAGGGGCTCCCAAAGGTGCTGCTGCTGAAATTGGTGGAGAATGGGGACCACTCTTGACACAGGCCTAGGGATAGGGTGAATGAAGGCAGCAGGCAGGGGACCAGAGCCTGGAGAAGAGGCCTCAGGCAGTCTGATGTCCAAACCCTGCAGCTGGTGGGAGGGACGTTGCTTGTCCCAGATCATCCTGAGCTCATGGTTCTGCCGAAGGGTCACTGGGGAAGATGTGGTCACTGAAGCCCCTGGTTTCAGCTTTCTGAGCCTTGTGAGTTTTGTTATTTTGAGTCTTAGGAGTTTTTCTTCTCCCCACTCCTCCCTCCCTCTTCTTCCCTCCTCTCTACTCCCTCCCTCTTCTTCCCGACTCCTGTCTCCAACCCACTCCTCCCTTTCTCCTTCCTCCTTCCAAGAGAGAATACTTTAATTCTGAGGAAATCAAGTCCCTATACAACTTTAGGAACCCAAGTGACAGGCAACAGATGGGGTGGGGTTGTGCAAATGAACAGGAATGAACACGTTGCTGGTCCATATTCAGAGACCAGAGCCTGGGATAGGCTGCTTGGAAATGTATGTGTATATAATTGAGGGTGTTGCCATGTCTACACTCAGGTGGGTACACAATCACGTGATTTCCAAGACCTGGCCTTCCTGTCCCCTCCTTAGGCCCTGTTCCAGTCCTCGTGGGGGCCTTAGCTATGTTAGACAAGTCAGAGGAACATACCTCCACCCTCATGTCCCTGCCATGCCCATCTCCCTTGTGGCTGGTTCACCTGCCAGGACTATGGGTGACCACGCCTGCTTCCCTGTCCTCACAGATCATCGCCAACCATCATATGCAGTCTATTTCCTTCGCTTCTGGGGGTGACACGGTAAGATGGGATGGGTGGACCTGTGTCCTGTGTCATCACAGCCTTCCCCAGACCCCACTTGCTGGGTCCTGTGCCCCTCAGGGGAGCTGAACCTGGCTAATTTCTCCCACCTGTCTCTCCAGGACATGACTGATTATGTGGCCTATGTGGCCAAAGACCCCATCAACCAGAGAGGTGAGTTGAGGGGAGCCCAGGGCCCTGGGCCTGGGCAGAGCTGTGCTGGAGGTCACGGGTGCACTGACACCGTGCCCTCCACAGCCTGCCACATCTTGGAATGCTGTGAGGGTCTAGCCCAGAGCATTATCAGCACTGTAGGCCAAGCCTTTGAGCTACGCTTCAAGCAATACCTGCACAGTCCCCCCAAGGCCGTAGTGCCCCCCGAAAGGTAAAGAGACACCAGGTTTCCTGGGCCAGGCTGCTGGCTTGACTCTCCAGAGGTAGGCTCCTTCTGCCTTTTCCCCCAGAGTCCTTTGTGTGGTTCCATCTTCATTCATCTCATGCGCAGCCCCCCCCCCCATCCTCCTGAGGGATGAACCCTTTGGCTGTCCTACGTCTGAGCTGCCTGCTGCTTTCTGACATTTGTTCTAGTACAGACAGCTGCTGGTGTTTGTGGCAATCCTCCGGACAGGGCACCACCTTACATCTCTCATGGATCTGGTTGCTGTCACCAGTGTTACCCGGGAAAGGCATGGCTGATAGGTGGAGGCTGAGGGTTGGGATGAGAGGACCAAGTGTTCTAGCCTTGCTCTGTGTCCCCAGGCTGACAGGGCTGGAGGAGTCGGCCTGGGGTGATGATGATGAGACTGTGGACCACAATTACTACAACAGCATTCCAGGAAAGGAGCCACCCCTGGGTGGGCTGGTGGACTCCAGACTGGCTGTCACACAGCCCTGTGCACTGGCAACACTCGGGGGCCTCGGACAGGTCAGTCTCCATTGTCCTGTGGGGCCAGAATGGGCATGGACCTGCCCTTGGGGTGGGTGGGGAGTGGAGTGCTGGGTGGGAAGAGGGCCTGGCACATACCAGGATCACCATGCCTTTCTTACAGGGAATGTCACCTGCCCGGAGAGATGCTCGTGGCTTGCCTTGGGATATGTGTCCCTCCGGAGCAGGTAGGTTGTGCTGGTCTCATGGAGTCTGGGGTCCTCTGAAATGTTCCGTCCCAGCAAACCTCTCTGCACGTAATTGTGCCCTTCAGGGTGTGTGCTCCCAGCTCCACTCCATCCTGCCATCTTTATTGCTTCACACGATAAGGTCATTACAATTTGGGGGCACACTTAGCTTCTCACACTTATAAACTCCAGGGGGCCCCTGCCTTCTGCCAGATTGTCTGTTCCCTGTGCCCTTACTAGGCAGGCATATTAGTGGCTGATGACTCTAGAAGCTTCCTGAATTTTTTGTGCATATGCAAGCACTTTGAATATGGATTACTTTATCGTGTCTCCAGGGGGCGCTCTCACATAGATGACACACTTGGCTTTTGTCCAATCCTTTGTAGGGTCCTCCCACACCTGTACACTGCAGACGTTTTCTTCTTTGTTTTAAATACTTTATTTAACTTTATTTTATGTGTTTTGGTATGAAGGTGTCACATCCCCTGAACTGGAGTTACAGACAGTTGTGAGCTGCCATGTGGGTGCTGGAAATTGAACCTGGATCCTCTGGAAGAGCAGCCAGTGCTGTAACTTCTGAGCCATCTTGTCATCCCTACTGCAGACTTCTTAATCTTTTCATGGCTGTATAATACTCCTCTGTACAAAGCAGTGTGACTCCTCTCTGGTGTGAGGACAGTGGGCCCACTCCCAGGTGGATGGGGTCCCTGTGAACTTGACAGAGATCCCTAGTGTCTTTATTAATCTTCCCAATCTTCCCATCTGGTGCTTTGGCTTGCTCCTCCCTTAGCAGTCTTTGAGCACGCATGCTCTCTCTCTCTCCCTCTCTCTCATACACACACACACACACACACACACACACACACACACACACACACACAGAGCATCTCCTGTAGCCCAGGCTGGCCTTGAATTCACTATGTAGCTGAGGGTGACCTTGAACTCCCCATCCTCCCCCCTCTACCACCTGAGTGTTGGGGTGGCAGATATGCACCACCACTCACAAATACGTGTTTTTTCCTTAAGACGGAAACAAAGAAAACAAAAACAAAAACTTTGAGATAGGGTCTCATTTTGCAACCCAGCTGGTTCTGAACATCACATCCAGCTAGCTCCTGGACTCACATTTAGTTGCTGTTAGTATTTTATGATTAAGCTCTCATTATCCCTATTTTATAGCGGCTCAGTGACATGTATGCATTCTTGGAGGGCAGAGCCACATGTCCTGTATCATGCTGATGATACAGGCAGGGCTCACACTGCCTGAGGAGGGCTTGGTCACAGCTGGTACTGTCCAATCCTCACTTCCTGCTTGGGGTTCTGTGAAGTGACTGGAACCACCCTTGGGATCTGAGAAATCTGCTGAGCTGAGCTCAGATGGGAGAAATGAAAGTCGGGCTGTTCATGAGGTTGGCATAACCCCCAGTGACCTTGAGGGGTAAGGTTGCAGGGACAGGGTGTCCTGCTACCCCTGGGTGGGTAGACACATTGTATAGGACCTGGCAGGATGTTAACAGTCTTCAGGAGACCGAGATCCATTCCACATGTAAATACAAAAAAGTCAGCACAGAGATATGAATTTATCCTTATTGCCCAGGTAAAAGCTGAGCTAGGGGCTCATGTCACCTAGGTAAAAGCTGAGTGAGGTGGCCCATGTCCAAAGTCCCAAAGCTGAGGCAACAGAGACAGGAGGACTGATGGGAGATGTCATTCTGTAAATACGTTTCTCTTATTGGTTAATAAATAAAGCACTGTTGGCCAATAGGAAAGTAAGATAGGCGGGATGAGGAGACAAGGAGGTTTCAGGGAGAGGTAGGAAGAGATTCAAAATGTAGGACCAAGAGAGAAGAACTCCAGACTCTCTCCAGTAAGATAAGACCACATGGAAATACTTAGATTAATAGAAATGGGTTAATATTTAAGACAAATCTAGCCAATAAGAAATACAACGTCTCTATGTGTTATTTGAGGCTGGCATGGCAGTGAGACCAGGCTGGCGGGTAAACCTACTCATAACAGAGGACCCCTTGGGCTCATTGGCCATCCACCCAATTCTAGTTTAATCAGAGTTTTGGGTTCAGTGAGAGAACTTGTCTCAAAAAATAAGATGCATAGTGAGTGAGAAGACACCCAACATTGACCTCCAGCCTCCACTTGTGCATACATACATCGACACACACACAAGAGGAGGAGGTGGCTGCTGGCCTTAAAATAGGAGCAGAGAGTGGTAGCAGCTCAGCCATGGGCAGGATTGTGAAAGCCATGCCGTTACAGTTTAAACAGATGGCCAATGTGAGCATCCAGCTCTTTGGAGCTTGGAGTCCCTCCCCACCCTCCCCTTGGCCAGAGAGCTGCCCTCTTGCTGTGGCATATCTGGGCCCTGGCCCATGTTTGCACATGCAGCCAGCTTCTGTCCCCAGCTGGAGCACTGTGTGGCTTTTTGTTCCAGTTTGGCCCCTGTGGAATGACACTGGTGGTATCCCTGTGCATTCTTGTCTCTCTCTGGATCTGGTTTCATTCAGTGTCCTTGCTCCGCTCTCTAAGTTCTCTGGGTTTCTTCTGACTTGCCACCCTCCATCCTTTCCAGTCCCACCTGGGGATGGCTATGTGCAGGCAGATGCTAGAGGACCACGTGACTACGAGGAGCACCTGTATGTCAACACCCAGGGCCTGGATGCTATGGAGCCGGATGACATTTCTGAGGCACCTCTGATGCCTGAGGACAGCCCCAAGAAGGACCTGTTTGATATGCGTGCGTGACCCGTTCCCCGTTCCCCATCTGACCTGGGATTGCATGGGGGAGGTTCTTGGGAATCCAGAGGATAGAGGGTCCCAGACTATGAACCTCAGTTGGCTAGGGACAGACTTCTATGCCACACCTAATCTAGTGCAATGGATGAGGCCGAGGCCCCTTCTGTGGGCCTCTCAGTCTCTGCCCTCAAACTCAGTCTGAGGAAAGAGTCCTGATCGGTCAGTGGGGCCTGTCAATCCCCACCTAGTTGGCTAGGAGATATCTCTGGCTGTCTCAGTCTTCATCAGGGTCTCATGTGGGGGTGGGAGAGCTGCTCCATCTGTCTCCTCTGGGAACCCCAGCCTGGAAAGCGGGTCATTCACTAGAGACACCCCCCTATCCTGATGAAGGAGAATTGGTGTGGCGGAAGTCTCCCCTCAACCCCGAGATGATGACTCAGTCTGATAGCCAGGTTAATCTTTCTTCCCAGAAGGATTTGTAACAGTCTCCATATTCTCATGTTAGTTCCACCCCCTTCCCTGGGCACTGAGGGATGCTGACTCTCCCAGGGCCTCCCAGATGGCTAGAAATTTCTTCCTCCAGATCTTTGCAGTGGTCTCCCATTACTGGCATTTTTCTTTGGTGTTTTTCTGAGAAGATTTAGAGGCCAGAAGACAACCTTGGCTGTTGTTGCTTGATGCTAAAACCACCTTGTTTTTTCAGTGGCCGGGGGTGTACTAACTAGGTTAGGCTGGCTGCCCAGTGAGCCCCCCACCTCCCATCCTCCTGTCCTCTCTTCCTCGGTGTTGGAGTACTGGGACACATCATATGAGTGCTGTAACAAGCTTTGGTCTTCTGGTTTGCATGCAGGGACTTTACTGAGCCGTTTCCCCAGACCTCTGCAGGTGCATTCATTCCTTTTCATTGTTGCAACTGTGGTGTGAGGCTGCACCTCCCTAGTGCCTGCACTGGTTGTAGAGCATGGCCTCTTGGCTCCTCACAGTGGGAAAGCAGGTTGGGGTGAGCTTCCTACAGAGGCATCTGACCCTGAGTGACAGCCATTTGCCTGACTTCCATGGGGAGGGGGGTTCCTAGTTAGCACTTGGTCCAGTCACTGAGGCTTGGTGGAGCTCCTGTGTTGGGCACATGGGTGCTGATTTGTGTCACCCCTTGTCCTTGGAGGGTCCTGAGACTGGGGAGGTCACCTAACCCAGAGCAGTGACAGCTCCACAGAGGTAGGGATGTGAGGCCACCTACTGTTACCAACAATTGGCCAGGCCAAGTGCATAAGATGAAATCAGCAATGAGAGGCATACACAGGGGTAGAGGCTAGGGCACAGGGAGTGTGGTGCGCCTCACCTTCCCCTGAAAACAGCTTTGACAGTGACTGGAACCAATAAACCTTGTTGACAATCACTAGGCTGGAGTTGCAGGGGCTGTGCCCAGCACCAGGTTGAGTCTAATAAGTTCTAGGTGTGGGCTTGCAGGTGAACACCTGTCATTCTAGCTTAGCATAGAATGAGGCAGGAAGACAGAATTCAAGGCTAGCCTTGGCAACTTGGTGAGACTCTGTCAAAAAGTAAAACAAGGACTGGGGACATGACTAAGGGATGGAGCCCTTGCCTAGAATACCCCAGTGAGAGGCTGGGGGCTTGGTCAGGGTGGAGCCTCCCCTAGAATCCCCTAGGAAGGGGCTGGGGGCGTGGTCAGGGGGTGGAGCTCCTGCCTAGACTTCCCCAGTGACTGGCTGGGGGAGTAGTCATGGGCGGAGTGTCTGCCTAGGATCTCTCATAGAGGGGCTGGGGTTGTGACTGGAGTGTGCCTATCTGGCAAACCTGAGGGCCTGGGTTCTGTCCCAGCAAATAGAAAACAAAATGGCCCACAGGACCCTTTGAGGACGCCCTGAAGTTGCACGAGTCCTCAGTGGCAGCAGGCATCACCTCAGTCCCACTCTCTTTGGAGGACCAGTGGCCCAGTCCCCCTACCCGCAGGGCCCCCATTGCACCCACAGAGGAGCAATTGAGGCAGGAGCCCTGGTACCATGGACGCATGAGCCGTCGGGCTGCGGAGAAGCTGCTTCGTGCGGATGGGGACTTCCTTGTGAGAGACAGCATCACCAACCCGGGGCAGTATGTCCTCACAGGCATGCACGCAGGGCAGCCCAAACACCTGCTGCTGGTGGACCCCGAGGGTGTGGTAAGCTGGCACTTGGGGAAGGAGGGAGGGCAGGTGCCCCTGAACTTAAGGGTTGGCACCATTTTTCAGATCACGAATCCTGTACTGTGGAAAAGCTCTTTGACATTAGCATTTAGAGAACTACAAAACATTTTCCAGTTTAAAAAAAAAATTTTTTTTTTTTCTTTGAGACAGGCTTTCTCTGTTTAGAGTTCTGGAACTCACTCTGTAGAACAGGCTGACCTCAAATTTACAGAGATCCACCTGCCTTTGCCTCCTGAATGCTGGGATTAATAAAAAAGAATGTTGAATCCAAATGTGGTGACTCACACCTGTCATCCTAGCCCTTGGGAGGCTGAGGCAGGAGGATTGCTGTAAGTTTCAGGCCAGCCTGCAACTTCAGAGTGAGAACACAATAATATAACATTTGAAAGGAATTTCCACTCTGGAAAGCATTTTGGGGTTCACATGAAGGACGACAGCAGCTGTGATGTATTTATCTGGATCTCTAAGTAACTTATCAAGCCAGGGCCTTTCTGGAGTCAGTTGGTCTGCCCCCATCTTTTTAGTCAAATTCTCACTGGGTAGCCATATCTGTGAAGCTCCCTCTGTAGACCATCAGCCTGGCTTTGAACTCAAGAGATCCGCCTGCCTTTGCCTCCCGAGTGCTGGGATTAAAGGTGTGTGCCACCACACCAGCCCTGTTCATTTCCATTTTTCAAATGGGTTGTTATTATTTTATGTCTATGGGTGCTTTGCCTATGTGTGTATGCATGTGTGCATGCTCGAGATCATCCTCAGAGACCAGAAGAGGATCCCAGAGGACTGGAGGCTATGAATGCCCATGTGGATCCTGGGAATCAAACCCTGGTCCTCTGCAAGAGCAGTGGTGCTCTTAACTTCAGAGCGCTGTCTCCAGCCCCGCCCATTCATTCATTCATTCATTCATTCATTCATTCAGTTTTTGAACCAGAGACTGCCTTTTGAATGGCAGCATGGCTAACCTTGGATTTCTTCCTCCCTGTTCCTCTGGCCCTGATGTTCCTGGTGCCATTGAGAACTCACAAATGCCTGCTTCTGAAGCACTCAGGGTTTGGGAAAGACCTAGAGGATTTTTTCTAGGATCCCGGTTAGGAAGGATTGGGGCTTGGAGCCTTCTCAGCCACAGAAGCCATGGTTATTTTATTGTCTAGAACAGTGGTTCTCACCCGTCCTAAAGTGTGACCCTTTAATACAGTTCCTCATATTGTGTAACCCCAAACATAAAACTATCTCATTGCTGCTTCATAACTGTCAATTGTGTACCGTTAGGAATTGTAATGTAAATATCTGATAGACAGGATATCCGATATGTGGCCCTGTGTGAAAGGATCATTTAACCCCAGGGGCTTGTGACCCATAGGGTGAGAACTGATGGTCTACCTGGACCCTCGTGTGATTTCAGGGGTATTTTGGTTTCCTGGGGTTCTGAAGCACATGGCCGCCAATGGGATAGCTTAAAAGAAGGCGGGGCTTGTCCTGAGGATACCTCTGAGCCAGTCCTTTGCTGGTGTCTAGGAGTGGTTGGTAAATCTTGCTGCCTTTGACTTGTGGACACATCAGTACCATCTCTTCTTTGTGTCAGCCCCCCTTCTCCACCCCCGCCTGTCTTCTTTATCTGGGGTGCCCGTGTATCTTTCTCTGTGGCTTTCTACCTTTCTTTTTGAGTTAGGGTCTCACTGTATAGCAGTAGTTGTCCTGGAGTTTATAGGCCAGGTTAGCCTCTGCCCTCCTGAATGCCGGCGGGGTTAAGGGTATACAGCTCCACCCTGGTCTCTCCCTGAGGCTGGAGCTCAAAGATTTAGGTTGGCTGGTGAGCAGGCTCCAAGGGCCCCATCTATCTCCTGCCTTTCAGTGCTGGGGTCACAGGTGCCTGCAGGTTTCTCATGGGAGTTGGGGACCCCAACTCAGGTCCCCATGCTTGTGAAGCAGGCACATTGCTGAGACTCCTTAGCTTTTCTGCTTTTTATTGTTGTTTTTGAGACAGAGTCCTTAAACTCGAAATCCTCCTGCCCCAGCCTCCCTGAGCACTGTGCCTCTGGTTCTGGAGTCTTGGGGCTGGTTCTGGGGAGGAGTCCTCTGCTCCAATAAGTTCTTACCCAGCAGGCCTAAGCTGGTGGGGGTGTGGCCTGTGGGGTGTGTTCCTGGATGACTGCTGAGGTCTCTGCCTACAGGTGCGGACCAAAGATGTGTTGTTTGAGAGCATCAGCCACCTCATAGACTACCACCTGAAGAATGGGCTGCCCATCGTGGCTGCAGAAAGCGAGCTGCACCTGCGGGGAGTGGTCTCCCGGGAGCCATGAGCCAGGTGCGTAGTAGCCAGCTATACCCGCTGTCTTCGGAGTTCCTGTGATATTCATCCATTCTGTGTACCATCTATGGCTTTAGTACATTCATTGTGTTGTGTGGCCATCACAGTGGTTAGTTGCAGAACATGTCATCCCAAAGCAAGCCAGCCCCTAGAAACAGTCACCCCATCTTTCAAGGGTGGCCATACTGTGTGCTGCTTGCCCAGGTTTCCTGTCTGGTGGATGGTGGCTTGGGCTTTTCATGTTAAGGGGATGGAGAGCTGACTGAGAAGGAGGGAAAGATGTGATGACCTCAGGGTCTCTGAGCAGAGCAGGAGGAGGGAGGTGGCTGTGCTAGAGGAGGGCAGGAGGCAGCAGCTGGATGTGGGGGCTGGGTTGGGGGAAGGGGAGCACTGTGGAATTTTCCCTGGAGCTGCTGGTCAGGTCAAGCCGTTCTTCGTCCCCATGACAACGCCTCCTTCCTGTCCCCTTCTGGCCTCCTCCTGCCTGGGGGCCAGGGCTGCAGGCAGAATTGCTCTATTGAGATGGAGGTTGTAGCTCTGTGGCCCTCTCAGGTATCTGTTCCAAGCTGGATTGGTGTATGCCACCCAGACATAGGTTCTATTCTAGCCTCATAGAAGTTTGTGAACCTAGTTGCGAACACTGAGAGTCGCCAGGCTATCAGTCAGTGGGTATCTCTTAGACCACACGGTTCTGAGACAGGCTCTGAGGCTAGCATCTGTGTCTGCACAGAGAGATTAAGAAATTGCCCTGGGGCATAGAGCAGCAGCTTGGGGAATCCCAAGGCCCAGGTAGCTGGGCACCCATGGCTGCTGAGGCCCTTTCTGTTCCTTAAACACAGGTGGTTATCATGGACACCCTGATTTCACCTCTTTCTGTCCACAGGTGACGGTCCTCAACCCAGCTCCTACCCCCAGAGGCCCTTGCTGTGGCCTTGAGGGCTCAGCCTTTCTCTTGGACCCTGAAACCACCAGAAACAGAATGGCCATCATTTTTCCTTCCGCATGAGCCTCAGGAAGCCGCCTTTTCCTAGCTGTACTCGGCTGGCTGGGCCAGTGAGACCGAGTCAGGGTCCAAGCCCCTGGTCCTGCCTGAGCTCCCACCCTGAACTTGGGTGAGGTTGTATAAACCAAAGACTGACCAAGTCGCCTTTAACAAAGAAACCCCAAATGTAGGCCTTGTGCCTTCGGTCTCCAGTGGGGCAGAGACATCAGGCTGTGTCCACAGAGAGGTACATATAGCTCTGTGTGGGCAGATGTAGATTCCTGCCCTGGCTGGGCTCTGAGGACTTCAGATGCACTGTTGCCTTTGTGGGGGATCAAGGTGCTTTTGGGTTTCAAACCCTGATGGGGGAGCAGCCTTGGGGCTCACCTGAAAAGGCAGGGCATCCTGGTGAGTTAGAGGTGGAGGAAACTTGCTGAGGTGTGGCGCCCACTCAGCACCTCCCAGCTGTCACCTGCCTGGACCTTCAACTGTAATTAAACACAGCATTGAACATGAGCCTGCTGTGCCTGTATGGATCTACCAGGGGTTCCTGGGTGGACAGCCGAGGCTGAGGAGGAAAGCTGGTCCGAGTCTTGGGGCTTGGGTGCCTGTGGGGTCTGAGCTCTCCACAGCACCTCCACCTCACGCCATGACCTGACTCCCAACAAGCTTCTGATTTTATTCCAGGATAAAGCTATCTCTTTCTCTGTCCACTGTTTGCCCAGCCCCTGCTTGGAGGTGGCTTACCTCCTAGGAGGACCACCTGGATGAATGGTTTCTGCACTCAGGTACCCCTATGGAGGACTGGGTTGCTCTGTGTGGTGTTCTGGAGTGCATGCCAGGGAGGATGTGCGAGTAAAAGCTTCCATCTACCACAAACATGAGACATCAATAAAGGCAGAGTCACAAGTCACTTTGATATCCTTGTCCTCCAAATACAGAGAGGCTGCTAGCCCCATCCCCCCAGCCATCTTTCCATCCCCCTACTCATCCACCTAACTTATCCATCCATACACTTATCTTTCTGACCACCCATTCATATGCCCATCCATCCATCCATGCACCCACCTATCCAGTCACCAGTTTATCCATCCACCCACCCACCCATCCACTCATCCATCCATCTATCTGTCTTTCCATTCAACCACTCACCCATCTATTTATCTACCCACCCACCGTTCTATCCACTTACTCATCTACCCACAGCGCAGCTCATCCATTCATCCCACCACAGTCCTTTGAGCACTTCTCATCATCCATCAGGACTTCTGATGGCAGTAGGGATGCAAGACTATCCTAGACATTGATCAGCAAGTCACCACTATGTGTACTTTCCAGGTAATATCTGGGAAAGGGAGAGTTCTGGAGCTCAGGAAAACTGGAGGGCTTCGTTGTGTTGATCCCCAGGTGGAGGGGGTAGAGTTCTGGGTGGAGTGAGAGCATACACAGAGGCCCTGTGCATGTGAAGCTGGCATGCTCAGGGAACAGAAAGGTGCCCCGGGGTGGAGACCACAGGACTGAGGAATGGCTAGGTACCAGAAGGAGCTTAAGCATCAGGTCATAAACTTGATTCCAGTGAAAAAAGCCACTCTGGCAGGAAGTATACTGTTGACAGGGATGTCCGAGGACCAGGAAGAGGCAGTGACGTTAGATTCTGGAACCTGGGTCAGAGAGGGGTCTTAACTAGCTTCATTCATTCACTCATGAATCCATTCATATACTAGGTCTCCCCAAGGCCTAGCCCCCATCCTCTTTGAAGTCCTGTGTCTGGAGCCCCTCAGGGCATGTACTCACACCTGCCTAAGTTTAGAGCCTTCAGATCTAGCTGTGCAGGCTGGGAGATGGATGCTAGTGACTCACCAAAGACCCACACATGGTGAGGGGTGACAAGGATGGCAAAGCTGCCAGTCTTCATCATTACCTGATCACTGAACTGAGCCTTTGGTAGAGGCAGATGTGGCCAACCCCCCTCCTATCAGGGACTCAGGCTCAGTTCTCCAGGAAGTCCAGGTGCTTGGTTCTGGAGGGGTCAGAAGATTCCACCCCCAGCCCTTCCTTTCACATCAAGTACTCAATTAAACATTTGCCCTGAGGGATCTTGGGGTGTAGCAGAGTTGTGAATTTGAATTCTGGGATTCTCTTCCTGTGAAGTACCCATAAGCCCCTTACACTGACAGGAGGCCTAGCTCCCTGTGGGCTCAAGGATTGGCACTAGCTCTTGACCCCACGTCTTAATCTATAGCATTGCATTGCATTTTATGTGTGTTTCACCCGTGCATCATAATGGGTAGTAGGAACTGAACCTGGATCCTCTATGAGAGCAAGTTCTCTTAAGCACTGAGCCATCTCTCTAGCTGCAGACAGGAGCTGAGAAATTCCCTCCCACTGGTTCTGGGGGGCTAAGGTCACACAGCAGGAGGCAGCACGACTCAGGGCTGTAGGAAGAAACTGGATCAATACTATCTACTCTAGGAGCTCTCTCCAGCACGAACTGAGCCTGAGTCCTAGATAGGAGGGGGGTTGGCCACATCTGTCTCTGCCAGTGGTTCTGCTCAGAAAAAACAGACGGCTTTGTTGACCAAGAGGCTCCTGTTTGCCATCTGCCAGCTGGAAGGGCTGGGCTCCCTCCCTGCAGGGTGGGGTCCACGGGGGCCAACAAGGTGGGACTGGAGACCCACTTTCAGATACCTTTCCCCATGGGCTTCCATTTTTAAGCTGCAGGGGACAGCAGCTGGGCTAAGCTGTTGGAGCTAGCCTCTGGAATCCTTTGTCACTTGGGTCAGCACCCTTGGCTAAGACACTTGCTCACTTTCAGGAGGCCTGGGGGGCGGGGAATTCTAACCAATATCTTTCAGGCTCTCTGGGACTCTCCACAGTAGACAAATGTGGCCTGTGGACTCACTGAGGTGGCAGAGGGACTGAGGTTTGGAGGCTTCCTGATAACACAAGCTCCAGCTGAGCAGACTAAGGCAGCCTGGTTCCTTGGGATTGTGACCCAACTACCTGTAGTTCGAGTACTGGCTTTGCCCTACTAGGCCTCTTCATTTGCCATGGCTGATAGCAGTTTCTTCCATTCCCCTGGACATTTCCTGTTACAATTTTTTGCTGTTTTGTTAGTTTGAGACAGGGTCTTACTATGTAGCTCTGGCTATCCTGGAACTCACCATGTAGACCAGGCTGGCCTCATTCACAGAGATCTGCCTGCTTCTACCTTCTGGATGTTGGGATTAAAGGCATGTGCCACCATGACCAGCTTGCTATAGCTGTGTCAGGGAGAGCCACACACCTACACTGCCATTCACCTGTGTTGCTGTGGGCACCTGTCTCACTGGGCATTGGAATGGCTATCAGATTGTCCCCAGTGTCTGGGTCATTTGGCTCTAGGTGGGTCCCAAATAAATGTAGGTCCATGGAAGGTGTATCCCCTCGGGACCTGACACTGAGCTGTGGAAACCCAGTTAGCAGTGACCAGGCCTCCCTCTGGGTAGGTCCTTCTTCTCCTAGAGAGAAACTGTCACGTCATCTATAAACCACTGAGCACGACTCCCTGCTGGGTGGCCATGGGAACCTGAGATGGAGAAAGTTATTTAGAAGCTGATTAGGACTCAGTTCCCAATTCCAATCATAACTATTATTGGATGAAGAGCAGCTGTAGTGAAGGGGCCTGCTTTGCTCCCCAGAGCTGAGGGGCGGTGCCAGGACCGGAAGTGGTATAGCTTTCCTCAGTGTCCAGTGTAACAAGCTCCGCCCCTCAACTCCCCATCCAGTTTGTATTCCACTCAGTCTAGTAGCAGAAGGCCCAGATTAGTACTGTGGGATCCTGCTCAGATACACAGGACATATAAGTTGGTATCAAGAGATCTCGCCCAGAACCCAAGACCCGTTCCACACAGCTGGATCCACTCCTGACCTGTACCAGAGTGTTCCCTTAACCCTCTCAGAGATCTCTCCCTGTGCCAGGCAATTGGTCCAATGCTACCCGCCCTTCCCCGGGCCCCAACCAACGAAGTCCTGCCTCTCCTGCAAGCCCCGCCCCTTCTTTAGGCTCCACCCTATCCTAGCCAGGAGCCCCGCCCATCATCCAACCCTACCCCCAGCCCGAACAAGGAGACCATCTCCTAGGTCGGGTCCCACAAGCAGACCCCTCTGTATTTATATTAGGAACCCCGCCCCCCATGCCCCGCCCCCAGTCAGTTCCGAGAGGCCCCGCCCCTCCCGGACTGCGGGGACGCGGGCGCGCGGCCGCATACGGCTTGGTGGGCGGTTTCCCGCGCCGAGCGCAGAGCTGGCCACTGCACTGCCGCCTCTCTCGCAGCTGCGCCGGGCCCGCAGCCGAGCCCGGTATTCCGGAGTCGCCGCAACCCGTGGCAGGTGAGCCCTGCGCGCTCCGCGGTGCTCAGACTCCGCGCACCGGGAGCCGGGGGCGCGGTCAGCTCGCTGCGCCGGGCCCAGGACAGTCGCCTCCTCCCCCAACGCAAGGCGCAGCAGCTGAGCGAAGCCACAGGTGGGTGGTAGCCGGGGGCGGGGCCGGGACAGCTCAAGCCTGTGGTTCCTAGGGGAGACCCCGAGCCCTTCAGGTGGGTGGCTAGGTGAGCAGGATACAGGCTGGGCCCAGCTGGCGTAGGAGCTGACACTACTCAAGGCTTCCCAAGCGCTCGGCGTAACCCTGCATTATGCTGACTTCGACCCTGACAGGTGGCGACTCCTGAACCAGTTATCAACCCCATGGGGCTCTGGCAGATGACCCCTCTGTGTACAAGTGCCAGCCCCCGACAGCGCTGACAATCAGTTGACGCCTGGGTACAAACGCCAACCTCTTGGTAACCCTAACAGGTGACCCGTGCACACAGGTCCCACCCTCTGACAGCCCTGACGGTGATCTTTGAGCACAGCTGTCACCCCTGATCCCTGTTTCTTTTCTCAGACTCCTTGGTCTTTTGCCTGTTGCCCTCATGAGAAAAACCAACATGTGGTTCTTGGAAAGGCTTCGGGGGTCTGGGGACAACGGAGCCAGCCGCGGGGTGGGTGGTGAGGCTGGGGACAAGGTCTCCAAGGGCCCTCTATATAGCAATGTGCTGACGCCAGACAAGATCCCGGACTTCTTCATCCCCCCGAAGCTGCCCTCAGGCCCCACAGAGGCCGAGGGGCAGGCAGACCTGGGTCCATCCACCTCAGAGCAGAACCTGGCCTCACCTGGGCCCCGCCGAACACCACGAAGCCCCCGGCTGCCAGTCAAGTTGGCCTCAGAGAGCAGGAGCCTGCTGAAGGCAGCCACACGACACGTGATTCAGATAGAGAGTGCCGAGGACTGGACAGCAGAGGAGGCCACCAATGCCGACCCCCAGGCACAGGGTGCCATGTCATTGCCCTCTGTGCCCAAGGCTCAGACATCCTATGGCTTTGCCACACTGGCTGAGAGTCCCCACACCAGACGCAAGGAGTCCCTTTTCCACAGTGAGCACGGGGCCCTGGCCCAGGTGGGCTCTCCTGGTGCTGGGCGCCGGCGAGCAGGTGCC